GCATTCGTATGGCCATTGCTTCAGTCCTGTCATATCAACAACAAATTCGAATATCCGTCCACTACGTTCAAAAATCATCTGACATATCACATTCAAGACTTGCAGCTGTCTTTCCACAATAGTATCGCCCGTTTCCTCATCCGTGCCGTCGATATCCAGCGATCCTGCCATCAGGATGTTATTGTCGAACCACCATCTGATGATAGACTCGCACAAAGCTATGTAATCAATCCCACGTATAAACGACGGATAATCAAATGACGCGCGGCATATGGTAACATTGTTAAGGCAAAGAGTCGAAAGTGTGTATTGCGAGAGATGAGATAGAATAAATGGTATTATAAGAGATAGACGGGACACTGGACGTCCAGAATTAAACGGGAAATACCACAAAAATCGTATCCCGGCAGTGCACCATGATTTGTTTACTAATATTATGGAATAAAAAGTGTGAATGTCGCGCTTATCAATATAACTGAATACAATAGAAAGTGTTTCAGGTGGAAGTTGTAGAGTCATACTGATCGCGGCCAAAAAGAAAATTAGCGAGCCGATCAGGCCTGCCCGCTTGTATGAATCACGCGTCATTGCACGTGATGTTTTATGCATCTGGATCATCCTGTGGAAAGTTTACCAACATTTTTTTTTTTCACATCTCAGCTATGCCATTCGGACTATTCACATGCAACTCCAGTAACCAACTGCGTCTATTTCCAAACAACATCAACAAGGCAACTCGGGCCCGGATCTATAGCTTTAAATACATATGCAGATCCTCATTACAACCGGGAATAATTTATCCGCATGCATTTTCATGGACAAACATCGCATACGAGAATAGACCATTACGTAAATTTTCATCAAGCACGCCCCAAAAATCACAGCAATCGAGCGAAAATGTTAACGCTAAAAGCACAATAAGAGGATCTAGACCTGTGTGGTCCGAAGAAGAGGATTCAAAGCTCCTCGAAGCAGTCGATAAATTAGGAAAGAAATGGAAAAAGATTGCAGCGACATACTTTCCCGATAAATCGCCATCTTCATTGAATGCCCATTATATTATCATACAAACAAGAGCCAAAAAGAAAGTATTATGCAAACGCTGGACACCGGAAGAAGATCAAATACTCAGGGATGGCGTAGAGAAATATGGGCCCGGAAAATGGAAATATTTCCATTCACAACTACCGGATCGGACCGTTCGAGATATTGGTCATCGATGGACCAAGCTACAAGCCGAAAAAGAAGGTACATGGACTGGTGAAGAGGACAAGTTTTTAATCAATCTTGTGCAAGCCATTGGGCCAAAGTGGTCAGAAATTTCAAAGAAAATGAATAGGACCCCGGCGTCTGTACGTTACCGTTATTATGTGGGACTGTTCAACAAACTGCATCCGTGGACTCACGAAGAAAACGAAAAGCTGAAACGGCTTGTATTGCATGGTGGTACTAATTGGCATGAAATTGCTGAACTTTTTCCTAAAAGGAATGTAGACAATGTAAGAGATCATTACGCAAATACGGCATCTGTCAATCCGTTTATCAACAAGGGTAAATGGGATACAGAGGAAAAACGGGCATTTGACATAGCAATAGCTAAATATGGATTTCAGTGGGCTCTCATTGCCAAAGATGTTGGAACCAGAACTCGTCTTCAATGTTATTACTATTGGAGAAGTGGACAAAAACGACTGCAGAAAAAACAGCAGCATTTTACACAATGAGTCTTACTATAAAACATATAGAGTTTTGATGGTACATGGATTAGGATCAAGTGATTCTAAAAATGTTTGCTAATAATTATACTTGCATTGATCTGATTCATCTTGAATTTTGGATTACATCAATCTGGTAAGTTTACTGTGTTTTTTGTATAATGGAGTAATGGGTGATTGGAAAACTCGTTTTGAAATAATAATTTTGTTTGGTACGATTGTGCAAGACAGTTCTTTAATAGTAAAAGACACAATATAACATCTTTGAAAATGTCTAGATTAATAAATAAGATATTAATCCAACATTTGACTTTCATTTGTCTTGCATTTTTGCTAATTATTGTATGTCTAGGCTTTTATAATACTATCCAGCCTGAGGACTTTGTATTAGCAAATTTGTGGCAATCAACAAAAATATCAACTTAAATGACAGTCTTTCTTTATATTTATACATTGTAGTTATTACTATATAAACATCGTGACTGCCTATAAACGTAAATCTGCGTAAAATTTTAATAGAAGTTTGTTTACACAGTGACCTACGCTGCCTGCGACTTATTGGTGTCAATATCTA